CACGTCGCCCCTGCGCCGCCCAAGGACGACACCGCCTTCAGTGACTCTTCGGAGCAGGTGAACTTCGACTCGGAGGACTCCTCCTGTCTCCCCGAAGACCTCAGCGTCTCCAAGCAGCTGAAGATCCAGGTGAAAGAGGAGCCCGCGGAGGAGGCCGAGGAGGAGGCGCCCGAGGCCAGCATGGCCACTCGGGACTCGGGCCCCAGCAAGGAGGCCGGGTTGTGGCCCTGCGAGAAGTGCGGAAAGGTGTTCACGGCGCACAGGCAGCTGGAGCGGCACCAGGAGCTGCTGTGCTCCGTGAAGCCCTTCATCTGCCACGTGTGCCACAAGGCCTTCCGCACCAATTTCCGCCTCTGGAGTCACTTCCAGTCCCACATGTCGCAGGCCGCTGAGGAGCCAGCGGTGCAGAAAGAGGCGGAGGTGGGCCCCCTGCCCACAAACTCCCCCTCGCCACCGCCTCTGCCGCCGCCCCCGCCCCTGCCCAAGATCCAGCCCCTGGAGCCGGACAGCCCCACGGGCCTGCCCGAAAACCTGGCCCCCGCCACAGAGAAACTGTTCGCACCCCAGGAGTCCGACACCCTCTTCTACCACGCCCCGCCCCTTTCGGCCATCACCTTCAAGAGACAGTTCATGTGCAAGCTCTGCCACAGGACTTTCAAGACCGCCTTCAGTCTCTGGAGTCACGAACAGACGCACAACTGACACCCGCGCCTCTTCCCTGGCAGGTGGGGGGCCCTGAACTGGACCGTGTCCCTGGAAGCAGAGTATTTTTTAAAAAGAATAATAAAGGCTGGAAATTGTTATGCTTGAATTTAGGCTTGAGATAAAGTGATGATAATTGGCATTGTCATCCTGCAACTCGAGAAACTGAAACACTGCAGTTCCGCACCTCTCAGCGGCCAGGGCTGACTTAGTTTCTTTTGAAGTCGGGTGAATCTCCAGGAATTGCGTGGTTCTGCATTCCAAGGTGTCCGGATAATCACATCATTGAGGCTTTTGTTTCTTACTCACTTGTAACTAGTGGAATGCTAGCAAAGCGTTCCTTCCTCTGATTGTCTCAGACACCTAATTCTAGTTAAATCTTAGCCATGTTCTTAAGACCAAAAATGTATCAGAAAGAAGTGGAGTCTCAAGTATTGATTTAGATCTTAAAATATTTTAGCAATAAAAAAAGATAAACCTCAACTTTAATAAATTATCCTGACACTTGATAATAAAAACAAGTATTTGGTATTTTGTGGTCATGTAGGACTTTTCCTTTGTATGAAAATTGTGAAGTTTAAATCAGCAATACGCACACCTAAACTTTTCTAAGGTAGCAGACCTCGTCCTTGGTCACTCAGTGCAGAGTGCGGTCACGCTGTCAGAAGACGTATGTTCGGAAAGCAGGTTCACAGGGTCCTGCACAGCCCTCTCCCAGGCCGCTGTCGCCTGCCACAGGCGTGTTCTGACCCCACGCGTGGGCCGTGCATCCACACTGACTGCGTCCAGTCCTGGCTCACACACCCGGGAAGGACAGGCAGTGTGTGGGGTCCTCTCGTTTATGTGTCACAGATTAAGGGCCTGAGTGAAACTGGAACAGAAAAACCAAAGCTGACGGGCAGCACTCACTCTGAATCTCACGATTAGTGTGACAGGGAGGCGGGGCATGTGTCAAGACAGGATGGCCACTGCCGCCCGAGCCTCCGCTCCCTGAGCCCACACCGCAATGCCAGGCGGTGGGAGAGTGCTGCTGACTCCCTCGGTAGTGGGCTCTGTGCCCTTCTGCTGTGAGCCACTGCTGATACTCAGATGTGTATGAACGCACGTAGGAAGGGTCCAAAGTGAGCTTTTGATACTTATTTTGGTCCATAGGGTTTGAGGGGCTTTTTGTCTTTTGTATTCGTTGTAATTAAAAGTTTTAGAAGGTGTTATCCAAAGCTCAGTGGGTGTTTCAAAGGGGCAAACTTGCTTCACTTGTGTGGAGAAGGTTAAATAAATAAAAGAAATACTGAAACTACCCAATCTTTTTTTTTTTTTTTTTTGGTATCGGGGATCAAACTCGGATTCTTTGGCTTGCAAGGCAGGTGGTGGAAGCATTGAGCTAGATCCCTGGCCCCAAAATCCTTTTAAGATAGGGACACTGATTAAGATACCGAGTTTATATGTTTTTTTTTTTTTTTTAACCAACTAGTCTTTCAAATTAAAATCAGCTCCTGTTGATTGAGAAATAATTTTGAATTTGTGCTCTAGCAGAGCTCTACCCATGATTCTCAGTACCAACATTCTGTAGTAGTGGCAAGAAAGATACTCTTTTTATTGAAACACAAGCATTTTTATAAACTAATTGACTTTGTATATTATAGAAACTATATATGAGATTTTGCCTTTTATCCTTCCACTTGAAAAAGCTATTAAAAATCCCAAAATATTTTAGTAGTTACTTCCTATTTTGTTCTTCAATTTGATGGAGAAGGGAAAATAAAATCAGATTGCAGTTACTGATTCTTGCTCAATCTTTGTTTCTTGGAGAAATCTATGCATTTTAAAGATGACGCTGACCTTTAATGAAGCAAGCATCAGGATGGATGGTTGCACATGGGTTCACTCCGTCGTGGTGTTTCTTACTCTGAACACCCAGTAGCTGTCGCTTCCTCAAGAGAAGACAACTTCCTTGAGTCATCCTGAGAGGCTCTGGAAGTCCCGTAACGCGTTTTTATCTCAGCATTGTGCACTCAGTACCCAGGACCTGAACCTTTATGCTACATTTTTGAAGGTTTTTTAAATACTCCTAATCAGTAAAAAATATTTTTGATCTAGATATAGGCTTGCATATCCGTTAGGTTTAAAAAATTACCAGTGTTTTTGTCTTGTTCACATTTTTGTCTAGGCAAGAAATATAAGATTTCAAATAAAATTTTGAACCAAAAACATTTATAAATGCAGTTCTCGTTTTTCTATTACTTTTTATACTGTCCCTTAAAAGCATTAGGCTGAAAGAGTTTATTTTGGTGGTCAAAAAAATAAATAAATAAACTTCCACTCCTGTAACTATTTTAAATGTTAAGAAGTAGGATAATGAAAGACACATTAATTGCTTTTTTTTAAAGAATGTTTATCTTGGCCAGTAGGCAGATACTTGGTGTAAAATAAATTGGTCTTTCATTTTGCAACTCTTGATATAGTAAAGATATTCTTGTAAATGTTTTTTTCTGATTGTAATTAATTTTTTTAAAGGTAGAAAGTTCATTATTCCTTGTAAGTATTCAGGATGCCTGCTTTTTTATGCAGTTGTGAAAGAATGTAAAATGTTTTAATATATTCTGTTAATCTGAGGACTTTGTTATTTTCTTTATGTGGTGGTTGGAGGAGTGACAAAATGTGTTCTTTATCATTCAGAGTAAGCAATGGAGGTGACGTATTGTACATTTTAATTGTAATATTTCAAGATTAATAGTAAATATTCATCTTTAAAACTAGTCTACATTTACAGTTTTACCAAAATGCACAGGAATGCGGTGTCAGCGCCATTTGTCTGTGGGGAGTTGTGTGTCTTTCTGGGCTCTGTGTTCGGGAAGGGATGCCATGAGGCCTTGTGCAGCTCAGCCCAGCAGCTGATTGCTGGGTACCTAAAGCCCCATCGCCCTCTTGGGCCCAGAGGGAGGAGACGAGACAGAAGTCAGCCACACCCCACTGGACAGACAGGTGAGCGCGGGCCAGACCCAAGGTGGCCTTTGCCACTGGTATGTGTGCAGGGCCGTAATCTGGGACTTTAAGAAAGAAAATACTTGCATTTTCTTTGTACAAAAGTAATTAGGTGCCAGTCCTAACGGATTTCTTTATAAACTTCCTCTAGTTGACCATTATTGGAATTTTACAGTTTGTTAACTTCTGATGTCATGTTGATGGTTTTTGCAACAATTATGAAATGCATTATTGATTTAAATAATGCTGATACACATTTGATAAGCGTTCTTTAACACTGACTACTGAGCTTGCTTTGTTTTAAAAATAGGTTTTCCTCTTGTGGCTTTAGCACTTCAAGAAATTGATGTGCGCCTAACTCTAGGGGGCTCCTCTGGTGGTCCCCGAGAGGCCTCGAGCTCAGTGGGGGAGAAAACTAAATGGATGTTGAGATCCTGGAGGAGAAAAACAAGCGTTCATGTTGGGTGTTTTAAAAATTCATTTTAGAGTCAGGCTTTGGGGAACCGAAGTACTTTACTGTAAATCTTTAAAGTAATTGGGTGTTCTTTTGTCATTTGTTAGCGCTGTCTGAATTTCCAGGTTTCCTTGGTCAGTTCTGAGTATCACACGTGATGATTTGTTTCTGCCCTTAACCCCAGGCTCACGTCACTCCTTGCTTAGAGAAAAGCGAACAGACGGTTTTACAGTTGTCTGTGTGGTTGTCATTTCCTCAGCAGAGGAAATCCTCCGTTTTTTAGGAGCAGGCTTTTCTGGACTGAAAATTGATAGTAAACTTGAATAATGTTACCCCATTGCTTACTTGTATCCATCGTGTTGTCTGTGACTTCACTGAGCCCTGCCGGAGAACGACTGGAGTCAATAAATGTGAGCTGTACTTTGCCCCGTCCCGGTCTTGCTGGTCTGCACGGCGGCGGTGGGGAGCGGGGTGGCGCCCGGGACGCCCTTCCCCGCACCTAGGGCGCTTCCGGCCTGTGATGGCCAAGCAGCCGCCTCCACCTGGCCACCTTTGCCTGTCTGTGCGACCTCCGGTTTCTTACTTCAGAGGGCCGGGGCCCGTGCCTACAACAGGTTTCTCAGCACCCAGACTTGGCCTCCGTGTGGTGGCGGTTGCTACGCAGGTTTTGTTTCTGATTGGAGGGCTCAGCATCGCAGCCTCCTTCCACACACAGGACAGGACGAGCGCTTCTTTGAGCTCCTCTCCTGGCTCCGCAGCCCTCCCCACCCTGTGCGGGCAGAGCCGTGAGGGGACGGTGCCCTGGCCCACCACGACAGAGGCCAGTACCACATGGCTGGAGGGTCCTGCCGTGCCGATGGCCACCAAGTGGTGTTTCCTTTACAGGAGCATTTCCCCGGCAGGGTCACAACGGGGGCCTCCGCACGTGCTCCAGTGGGCCGCGTCCCTGACGTTTCATATTCCCGGCCTAAGGACATGAGTTAGGTGCTGAGCAGACAGCTGTCAGCGGCCCTCCCCAGGTCACGTCACCCCCGCTGACATGGCACAGGCCAACACGGCCTCGTGTCCCCTCTTGCCCGCTGCTGGGCATCGGCTCCTCCCAGGCTGGCCCGCCCTGGGGTTTCCGCCTTCCGGGAGGGGCTTAGGCTGTGAGCCCCTGGCTGGTGCTGCCACAGCAGTTCTGGGTGTGCACACGGGGTGTGCGTCCTGGGCCGCCGGAGTGCCCCGAGGGCCAGGCCGAGGTGTGCCCGGTAATGTGTGCGCGCCAGTCCCGGGCTGGCCTGCTCGTCCTGTACTTTCACTTGGTCCCCCTTCTCGGCCAGCCCAGAGCCCTCATCCCTTTCCACCCGGAATCTTCCCCAGCCTGGCCTGTGGTCCCATTGGACCGTGGCAAAGGATCCTGTGCTCCTGCCCTGGTGTTTCCTCCACACGGCGCAGCCGAGCGACTGGGGCCACAGTACACAGAAGCTGTGGTCTGCTTGTGTCAGCCCAAGGGGTGGCCCGGGTGCTACTTGTTCTCTCCTGGCCATGTTAGCTTTGTTTTGTTTTGTTTTGTTTTTGTGGTCCTAGGGATCAATTTTAGGACCTAGCGCATGCCAGGCAGGCGTGGTGCCACTGAGCTACATCCCCGGCCCAAGCAGTGTTTGTTTTGATCCTTTGTCTACTGTGTCTCCTGCTAGTTTCTTCGTTGTTTTCATTCTGCACAGTTGCCCAGGCTGGCCTCAGACTCACAACCCTCTCGCCTCAGCCCCGCGTAGCCATGATTATGGGCTGTGGCACTGCACCCAGCCTCACCCACAGCCAGTTTGGGCAGATGTTGATGTTTTCGCCCGAGTTCTGTTTTAGTTGTTACCCAGTGCAGATGTCTTCACCCTGCCGTCTCCTCATCTATTTATGGGGCTTTCCTCTGCAAACCAGCTCATGGTGGCGCATGCCTATAAGACCAGCACTTCGAAGGCTGAGACAGGAAGACTGCCAGTTCGAGCCTCACCTGGACAACTTAGAAAAGAAAAAAGGAAGGACTGGCACTTAGCTAGGTGGGAGGATATCCCTGGGTTCAGTCCCCAGTATGACACTAAAAAGTTCTCTTAGTCCCACTGCTTTATTCATTTACTTGTGTGTGTGTGTGTGTGTGTTGTCTGTTCAGTGTGTTTACAAGCAGTGGCCACCTTTTTAATTTGATGTTCAAGCTGGCCTAGCACAGCAGCCTCTGCCCTTCCGCATGCCCCTTCATCCTCTGCGTGTTCTTCCTTTCAGCCCCGTCTCATTCTCTCCCTGCCGGAGCCCCGAAACCAGCCACCTCTCTAGGGAATCGCCGTCCCTTGGGAGGAGAGCAGTGTGGAAGCTGAGACCCAGGCCCAAGTCGGTACAGTAGCTCTGGAAGGGGACGGGGACCCCAGGCCCGTGGGCAGTCAGGCTCGGGGAGGTACACACAGGCTCACAGCTGGACCTCCCGCGGACCTGCCAGGGCCTGCCGAGAGCCACAGGCCCCACCCCGCACCCCTGGAGTCTGGCCCGCCCTCCTCCCGGGTGGGAGAACCAGCCTGTTCTGTGCTCTGTGAGCCACTCCCAGTCCCGGGTCCGCCCTCCCACCCACCTAGCAGAAATCTGCAGGACGAGGTACCCGATGTTGCCTCCTTCTCCTTACACTTCTTCCTATTTTGGCCTCTTGTATTTTAGCACTGTGGCGTTGGATGTGTATAGAGAACTGATGCGCGTGTGCCTCTTACCGTTTGTTAAAACAACCCTTAGGGGCCAGGGATTTTGGCTCAGTGGTTTTGCCACTGGCCTCGCAGGCGCAAGGGCTGAGTTTGATCCCCGGTACCAAAAAATAAATAAATAATAATAATAATAACCCTTACTATCTACTGTGAAGCCTACTTTATTTGTATTAATG